CTTGAGAGAAAAACAAGAAAGGGCTTTGGGGGCTGTGACCGTGTAGAGCATTTGAAGTTGCAGGTGTGAGATTCCCTAAAGACGTGTAAACATTGAGAAGAGAGGGAACCTAGCATCCAGCACTGAGTTCATCGATATTTGATGCTCAGCGGGGTACCAGAGAGTGTTTTTTGTTTTTCTCAATGGAAAAAGACATATCTGAAGAATAAAAACTCTGAATATCTCTCAATTCTTAGGTACCTGGGTAAAATGTATTTAAGAATACAAACGACTCCTTTGAACATCAAGATATGCAGGTTGTGTGATTCAAGATACTTTTGAAGGGAAGGAGACTTAGATTTTAGCATTTGTACAATTATTTACTTCTCTTTTGTTGTAGCATTGCCAATCCTATTATAAACACTAAAAATATGGACAAGGCTAGAAGAGAATTTTATTTTATGTACAACTCATGAAAAATTGTAAAATCAAAGGACTTACTGCTCACATAACCTATTCAGCTCCTAGTTTTAAACGAGAACAGGCATCTCTTTTTTTCTCACTGGAGAAGTTAATATATTTATAAAGGCAAGTTTTAAAATATGTATGCATGTCAGTTATAAATCCCAGTACAAATGTCAATTATAAATACTGTTATAAATTATGGACTGCCTTCTCCAAAAGGCATTTATACTTGTAAGATATTTATAAGAAACTGAAGTTGTGATGAAGGTCTGCGAAAATGCCATTAGTCTCTCTAAAATGTTAGCATTTCTAAAGTTTTTTTCCCTGAACTGAGGTATATTTATTTACAGTAAATTTCTTTAGAGAATTATAAATCTCCCATGCCTATAAATTGATATCCAAATAATACCTCTTTCTAAAATATCATTTCCAAAATGAATATGAAATGGTATTTTTATGGGTGAACAATTTTTAAAAACAATTCAAGACATCATATGGTATTTTCTTGACAAAATAATCAAGATACAGTTTACTCAAAATCCTCTGTTAACAGAAATCTCTCATTGTTTTTTGGGTCTAAATTGAGGAAGAGTATTCTGGTTTTGGTGTCATGTATTCTAACAGAAAAGCCCCACTCTACCTTTCAGTGTTAAAGCTTTGCTTCTAGTTCTTGGCTGATGGATTTGTCCATTCAAGCCCTTCCGCTACTCTACTGGACACCAAGGAAGCATGCTGGGCAACACAGGTAAAGGCTCTGCTGTGTTGGAGCTTACGTTCTGGTGGAGACCCCATTTGAGTAGGTTTAATAGAGCAAAATGGAAAAGACATATGATCTTCAGACCCTCTCCTTGGCACTAAAATGTTGAAGGATTTAGAAAATACTCAATTAATGGCGAGTCACTTTCTAGAGAAGCAGAGGGTAAAGGTGAGATTGTTTTTTAAATCTGCCTTATCTGTACACTATCAATGGCCATTTCTGGAAAACTGTGTGTTGGACATCTGTCTCTGTGAATCTAGCAGCTGGATCAACTGACCTGGACACATGGGCACAGATGGTCTGATGCGTTTACCTTCATCATTCTCACCAACCTTCCAAGCTATGTAAAAATCCTCTTTTAACAGAAGTTGATGGTTCTCAGTGATTGAAGACCCTGGGGCCAGGCTCTAGGGAGGAAGAACCAGCAAGGCTGGTTAGGCTCCTACAGCCAGCGAGGGGTGGCTGGTGCTAGAGCCAGTGCCGGGCCATGGAAATCCTCAGAGCAAAGCCGGCTGAATCCCCGAGATGCACAGAATGACCTATGGTGTGTGTGTGTATGTGGGAGGAGTGTCTGGGAAATAGAAGACAAAATAGGAACCCCCCTAAAATTATGTTTTTTTAAAGTTGGGGTCAGATATTGTGCAGCTGGTTTTGAAAAAATGCAGCAATTGGAAAGTGTTTCTTCATTAATTTACCATTAATCATTAATAAATGGTAAGCGCTGGGAATGTAGCTGGTACGCTGGGAATAAGGTAATAAAAACATTCACCTTAATTACTCTGCATTTTGCAAAGTAAATGCAGCTTTTGAATCATATTTCCCATATAAGTTCATGACTATGTTTCTCTAGGCTGAAAACATAGTTTGAGAAAACCCAAAGTTGGGGAAATTTTGGAATGTGACAGGTAATGGGGTGGAATACCGATATCCTCTACCTTTTATCCATCAGTGATTCTTCTATCTTATGCCTCTTGTGTGACAAAAGTTCCAGGAAGCTTTATGAAGGAAGCAGCAGTTGTACTGGGCTTATGTGCCTTACACCAACTTTTACAGGTCTTTCATAAATAAGTATTTTTTGTAAACAGAAGCAGTTGTTTTAAAACACACCAGCTTAGATTGATTTCTTACTGGTCCTCTCTGCTAATTATAATAAACCCTGGAACTAACAAGCAACCCAAGAAGAACTCTGAAAAGTCCAAGGAGAAAGGTGACTCAGGACCCGTAGAAGGGAGGAATCATGGATGGGATTACACCCAATAGAAGAAGGCAACCCTGGACCCAGTGTTTCCCAGTCCAACCCAGCGACAGAAGGGGGCCCAGGTAGAGGCATCCCTCTGCCTTTTAAACCATGTCTCCCTGACAATATCAGGTGAATACAGCACCATGACCCTGCTAACACTAAGTGCCTGAGCAGGCACTCTTTTTCCACTGAGACCAAGATGCCACTCCCCGAAGAGAGATAAGGGTGGCTGGGGAGGGGATGGCACCTGCAAGTGGAGGTGGGGCATACTCCAAAGGCCTCCAGCCCTGAAAGTCTTTTGTCCCCGTGGAGATTCTCCTACCCCACCCAGAGACATGGGGCAGCCTGGCCCGAGGAAACGCCTTCTACCCCTTTGGGGACACCAGAAGAAACCAGGAGGAACTCCAGGGGCACCAGATAAACCAATCATACCAAAATAATACCTGGAAGGGTCTGAAAATTAAACTGTCATTGGATCCACCTCCCACTCAGGTAGACTGGAACCTGAACACTAAACCTAAGCAGGGTGACTGCCTGCTAAAATAGAAGATATATATAGGACCAAGATTCTCCTAGCAAAATAGCCAAAATGTCCAAGAAGCAATTAAAGATCACTTATCATGGTCATACCAAAATCAGAAAAACATAATTTGACTAAGACAATTAACTGACACCAAAAGCAGGATGAATCATGCTGGAATTATTTGATGATGATTTTAAAGCAGCCATCATAAGAATGCTTTAACAAGCAATTACAAATTCTCTTGAAACAAAGGATAAAATAGAACACCTCATCAAAGACATAGAAGTTATAAGACAGAACCAAACGGAAATCACAGAGCTGAAAAATACAACAGCAAATAAAATGCATCAACTCATACCAAATATTTCATTTGACCTGCAGTTAAATAAAACAAAAACCATACACCGGGTCCTGAAAAAAACCATTTAAATGTCTGGTAACAGAAAGTGACATACTTAGTCCAAGGCATGTTTTTAAAAAATTTCTGTTAAATCTAGTCCTATTTCCCCTGAGTTGATTCTCTTATGAAAGTGGTTAAAGGGAAACAATCAGCTTCTCTTTGCAATGATACCTGGTCCAAAATCTAAAAGCCCAATCAGTCAAAGTGAAAAATTGGTTAAAATGATTCATTCAAGTTTGGTAGTGTCCTGCTACATTTTACCACTTTCAGATTTAGCTCCTTCCAGAAGCAATCTCTGACTACAGTGGCCACATTTTGATAATTTACTGATTACCGCCTCGTCAGCACAGGCCAATAAGTTGTGTTCAAGGAAAGAGTACTTGCTTATATGTTCACTTCTCTATTTTTTACAAATGACAAAACTTCTCACCCAGTGTATCCCGGGATGCTGCTGTGCTAGCATGGATTACTAATGTCCTGATGGTATACACTTGATGCCCCGATACTCCTGTGATCCTAGTGAGACCTGGGAAACCTGGACTCCTGAGGCCAATGATTTCAGCTACGCCCAGCCTTATCTCATTAACCCAACCATTCACTTATGCACACACTCACTTGCTAGAAGCACAGATTTGGAGTTGTTGGTAGTAAAAATATTTACTGAATGAAGGAATCTTTTTTCTACAGGAAATGTCATCAAAACAAACAATGTTCTTATTAGTTTGGAAGACCTTCCCAAGCAATGTGCTTTTCCTACGATGCTTGAGATGCAAATGCTTTCAATTTATTCAACAGCTGCATGACTCAAATTGTGTGATAGATATTTTGCACACTGGTTAGTGTCTGAGGGATTCAACTTACTATAAATTCTGTGAATGAGATTGTTACCACAAGCTAATGTTTGGACATCAACAAGTTTAGCTTAAATCTCCATATATATGTAACCTGAGTTATATTTTCTACTATTACCGCTAAGACTTTCTCTAACATAACATATTATGTATTTTTTGTAAATCAATTGTAATATTAATAAATTATTATGAACACTGCTGGACACATTCACCCATATAAATCATTTAGAAGTTAAAGGTTGCATCTCCTTCATGGTATATCAGTATCTAGTGAGAAATTAGTTTGTGCAATAGTAACTCAAGATATATTAGCTACAGCCAAGCATCAATTCAGAGAAAGAACTCTGCTACCCATCCTTCATTCATTAAAATGAAATATAATTTATAGAGAAAAATAAAATATAAAATGTAATTTTGCTTTACATCTACTAACTGTAGAAAACAAACACAATTACCCTAGACTCATGAAACTGTACGCTGATAAGAACTATATAATATTAAGAAAATAGTATTAAGTCCATTCTATAAAGAATGTTTGTAAGTTTTGATTATTTCTCCAGTGATTCTGACTACAACATGCAGAGTTCTGAGGAATGTAGGTTACGAATGTGTCCTTCTAAAAGTAAATGTTTCCTTTCAACCACAAACATATTTGTTTAGTAAGACGATTCCATTAAAAGTCAAGTTACATAATGTTAGTACGTAATCTGAGAACAAAACAAAATATGAAATGATGCATTGATCATAAAATAATTCTTTAAAAATAACCCAGAACATTATTTTACCTGGCCGTACTTTGCTGCCAAGTGGAGTGGGGTCCAGTACTGATTATCTGCTACATTGAGATCCCCGCCATGTTCCAGGAGAAGACATACCACTTCCTTGTAGCCACTTGCACATGCCATATGCAACTGCGACGAAGAGATTATTTTGTCATTTAACTTAAAAAAGCAGGGACAGCAATGTAGTTTATTCAGTGGTTGAAAGACACCCATTTAATAAAGTATCGAATCTAAAACACAGAGACCTTTTAAAAAGAACACATATGTAATTTTATTGGGTACGAGTGGATGTCATCATTCTTTGAAAAATGGGTTATAGGTTAATTATTTATTATTTTCCTTCTGACCCTGACAACGTGCACTTTTCCATGTAATTTCTATTTCCCTCTCCAGTGCCCCTTTCTACTATAATCTGAATACTTGTAAATACAAAATACAATATCTCAGTGATTTACCACTTCTTGCCCCAAAGTCACACGTGTACTGACTAGCTCTAAAATTCCAGCCCTGTATTTGGTGTTACAGGAGGGGGACTCAAAGATATAAATGACCACAGGAAATGTGATCATTGCCATGGCTACATACATGTAAAAGGGACAGGAGGGGCTTCCCTGGTGGCGCAGTGGTTGAGAGTCTGCCTGCCGATGCAGGGGACGCGGGTTCGTGCCCCGGTCCGGGAGGATCCCACATGCCACGGAGCGGCTGGGCCCGTGAGCCATGGCCGCTGAGCCTGCGCGTCCGGAGCCTGTGCTCCGCAACGGGAGAGGCCACAGCAGCGAGAGGCCCGCGTACCGCAAAAAAAAAAAAAAAGGGACAGGAGCAGTAGAAAGGATGAATTAATGCCAACAAGCTCTAAAATGATTATGTAGCTATCATTTTAATATTCTCCCAGTTGAGTTTCTCAATGCAAACTAAAGCTTAGAAATGAAGCCTCAGGAACTACCATGATGAGATCAGGGTTTGGAGGAATTTTTCAAATTTTCCTATGGGGGAATTCCTGTTTCTTGGCAACAGGCTTTATTTGTAAGTAAATTATCATCATCCCCAATTTAAACTAGGTTATTAAGTAACTACATGGTGGAATTTGTAATCATAATAATTAAGAAGAGGAATCTATAAGGAAAGGAAACAGAAGAACTAATTTAAAAGTAGTAAAAACAACAACTTTGGGTTTTGTAGCATGGAATCTTGTAGCTCGACTCCTTGCCATTTTTATCACAGAGACAAGATTACAATAAAGTCAAAAGGGCTTATTCAATATAAATTTTGATAAAATTCAGAAAAAAGGTTGCTTTTCTACCTTTGGACTTAATTATGCTCTTCAATCTATAGTGACATTTATATATTTATGTTTTGTATGTACTTTCAGCTACATTAGAACAACAAATAGATTCAATCTAACTTCAGGTATAAACATTAAGAGATTGCCACACTTGGTTACACACAGAATTCATCTCATTAACATTCCAGCAAACCATCCCTAGAGTGATATATCCACAGATATTTTAGAGAAATATGATTTTACGTATTTTCCTAAAGAACTCATCTTTCTCCTTCTAAATTTATTTCATATTATTTGAATAATCAGTCAGTGACTGGCAAGTTACCCTGCTATATGCACTAACATCTGGATTTCAGATGTTCACTTGTAGCATAAGCCTGCATGAAGAATGGTCCACTAGTTGGTCAGCGCCTCGTACTAATGATGCAAAGTTCATAGGATCAACCCCTTCGTGAGTAGATTTGTTTTCCATGTGGCAAAACTCCGGTTCCACCATTCAGAACTTAGCCCAACTCTCACCCAAGTCATCCCCTGAGCTACTCACGAGGTAAAGAAAGACTAAAAGGAAAACTGTCTTGGCTAACTTAGCAGCAAAGCAATACAAAGCAGGAGCTACCAGTGACATCTAGGGCAGCCGGCACATTGAATCCTCGGTTATCTCAGAATAAAAGCAAAACACCTAACTTTTTTTTAAAGTATGGTTGATTTACAATGTCATGTTAGTTTCAGGTATACAGAAGTGATTCAGTTTTATTATATATATATATATTCTTTTTCAGATCCTTTTCCCTTACAGGTTATTACAAAATACTGAATATAGTTCCCTGTGCTATACAGTAGGTCCTTGTTGTTTGTCTGTTTTATATAGAGCAGTGTGTATATGTTAATCCAAAACTCCTAATTTACCCCTCCCCCTCTTTCTCCTTTTGGTAATCATAAGTTTGTTTTCTATGTCTATGGGTCTATTTTTGTTTTGTATTTAAGTTCATTTGTATCATTTATCATATGGCATATGTGTGGAATCTAAAAAAAAGGCACCAACTTTGAGTCACTCCACTTCATCGCAAGAGATAACAGCATATTTAAAAATCATCCTAGTAACATACCAGGAGTTTAGAGCCATTACTTTGATTCTACTGGCAATCCAGTTCTGTATCCTTAAGTCACTAGACCTATGGGTGGGTACCGTTTCTCATCATGGAAGTTCGACTTCAAGTTAAAAATTTTTAACTTAAAAGTGTCTATTTTCTGGGCTTCCCTGGTGGTGCAGTGGTTGAGAGTCTGCCTGCTGATGCAGGGGAAACAGGTTCGTGCCCCGGTCAGGGAAGATCCCACATGCCGCGGAGCGGCTGGGCCCGTGAGCCATGGCCGCTGAGCCTGCGCGTCCGGAGCGTGTGCTCCGCAACGGGAGAGGCCACAGCAGTGAGAGGCCCGCGTACCGCAAAAAAGAAAAAAAGTGTCTATTTTCTGAAATGGAATTTATAGTCCTGCCTTGTCCTGACCATGGGGGAAGGTATCGGTGCCAAAATGTGTAAGTGTTGATCACATGACATCTTAGAATACTCCTCTCCTGCTATGAGAACGACAGAGGCAGTGGTTGTTCCCGTAGAGAATTAGCAACAGCTTTTTGGAAGCACAGTCCTCATGGAAAGTTATCGCAAGCTGGAAATCACCTACCCAGTTACAACACAGAACAGGACGTTAAAGTGGTTTCACAAACGTCCTGCGTAAAAATTCTACATTATTTCTTCTCTTCAGAACAACCTATGGGACAGTCACCATGCCAATTTTGCAGCTGGAGAAGCTGTGGATTAGACCACTGAGGTAACTGACCCAGGGAAGCAGGGCCACCGTGGGCTGAAGCCACGTTCCTCTGCATGCCCAGCACTCACATTCTGAAATAGCAAAGGCGAGTGGACATCCAAGTTGGCCGGGCTACAAGGATAACGCTGCAGTGTGAATGCTTCTAACAAACCTTGCATTCACTCCACAATTTATTTGTTTAAACATGCAAATGCTCTTCCTGCAAACCTCCCCTGCCTCACATACCAATTCGGTATTATAATGTTCGTCTCCAGAACACGTGCACAATTTACACACTTGCTTGTTTCCCCTGGCACACCAGCGAGGTTGGCATGGCTGTGTGTGTGAAGCGTGGCTTATCGCCACCTTGCATACTAATGATGCGAAGCTCATAGGATCGACCCCTTTATGAATAGATTTGTTTCCATGTAGCAAAACTCCAGTTCCACCATTTAGAACGTAGCCCCACTCTCACCCGGTCATCTCCTCAGCTGCTTATGAGGCAAAGACTTAAAGGAAAACCGTCTTGGCTTGCTTAGCAGCAAAGCGATCCACAGCAGGAGCTACCAGTGACGTCTAGGGCGGCCGGCACATTTAATCCTAGGTCATCTCGGAACAAAAGCCAAACACCTAACTTTGAGTCATTCCACTTCATCACAACAGAAGATTTTAAAATCATCCTAATAAAAAATCAGTGAGGCCTGACTTCATGCAAGTTGGAAGTTTTCATTATTATATATGTCCAGACACTCTAATCTCTAAATCGAGGCTATGTACGGTGACAGAAAGTAACCACAAAAGCTTTATTCCCTAGATGTGACCAGAAAACTGATGACACTGGCTAAGTCTTCTTCCAGAAGTAAGGATGAAGCAATGCTAACGAAATAAAAAAAAGGAAACAAAAATAAAATTGCTTGGTATTTTGCACTTCATGGATAATTAATTATTTTCCAACAAACCAAGTAAATATGGCTCAAGGCCAGATGTGATATATCAAATTCTGTGACAAAACAGGAAAGAACCAGCTTCTTGATAACATATATACTAGTCATCAGTGCTTTCAAAGAGTATTTATGTACCTGAACTCAGGAACTCCTTTTCATATGCTCTGTAACGTGGCTTTTTTTTTGGGGGGGGGGGGGGGAGTGGGACAGACATAGAACCAAATGACTACATCAGGTAGAGCAGGGCCAAGTATAACAGGGCACAATGAAAAGAAAGGTTGATTTTACGTGGGACCACTGTGGTGTATTGCCGCCTGCTCTTCAGCTTGTAGAACTGACTATGCATATCTCTTCCAAACTATGTGTTCAGTGATGTCATGTTGGTAGCTTAAAATCAGCCATGGTGGGAGTATTCACCCTACATAAATTGGCAAACACTGAAAATTAGGGCTTTTCCCCCTGCAGAGAGCCAGTTGTTAAACATTAGTAGCATACTCCTGCCTGGGGGTAGGGAGGGGGTGTATAAGAGGACAATATAGAGAAGGGGATTATTAGGCTGAATCTTGTAGTGCAAGTAGAAAAATAACCATTATTGGATTTTTAGGAGAGGAATTTGAGTGTTTTTTTTGGGGGGGGGGGGGGGACTGTATCCTTTTCTAAAGCTTTTCTTTTCTTTTAAGAAGAATATTAACATAAACTAAGAGATCTTTTTTAAAAGAGCTCTCTTGGTGGTGGGAGGGATAAATTAGGAGTTTGGGATTAACATATACACACAACTCTATATAAAACAGACAAACAACAAAGTTCTCCCGTGTAGCACAGGGAAGCATACTCAATATCTTGCAATAACCTAGAGCAGAAAAGAATCTGAAAAATAATATACATATGAATAACTGAATCACTGGGCTGTACACCTGAAACTAATACAACATTGTAAATCAACTATACTCCAAAAAATTTTTTAATAAAAGTTTTTAAAAAGAGCTACCTTATATTTGGTTTTTTTATTGCATGTTCCTAAAAAAGGAAGAAAAAGCAACATAAAAACCATCTTACTAGGAGTTGATCCTCCTTGAGTATTTTGTTGACAGTTTCACCTCTTTTGCACAAACAGTGTAACAGCGTGGGATATTGTGCCTGATTTTGAACCACAACTGACATTCCAACTCAGGATGTGGAAATCCGTCTGCGGCCAAGACTGCCTTCTTATCATGATCAGCAACAATAGTCAGGAACACACCATCCACATGCCCTTTACAGAAAGACAGCTCCAGGAGTGGCAGCTATTAACATAACCGGCCAACCAACTCAGACAAAAGAATCAAAGAATCTGCCATTTGCCAAGTGCTGTGATCCTCAGGGAAGGACTTCCCGTTCACTGTGACTTTCTTTGTATAAAGCTCAAAGATGGTCACAACCTCAATAACAAAACAAGATTTAGTTATTACAGAATAATTATATGCCACACTTGTGTTCTCTGTTCAATAAAAAAAGTGACCAGGAATGTCAAAACTGCAGATGGTTGAAAATGATAGCAATTTATTTCTGTGTATTGATTCTTTTAATAGCTTATCTTCTGAGGTATGTAGGTCCTTTTATTGAGCGGGGATTGAAGCCCATGTGCTGTTTTTATTTAGCTGTGATTTCCAAAAAAAACAAAATGAAGTTGTAATATCTTCTACCAAACAAAGAAACACAGACTCCACTGGGTTTTTACTATGCGTTAGATGTGTTCATTAACGTAGGTCCTGCCTTAAATGGGCTGTTAATTAAATAGCCCACTCTCGTCTAGATTTTGACCTCACTGTTCCACCAAAGCTGTCCCCATGAGAAGACCGAGGACTCCCAAGTTACCAAGTCTGGCAGCTGAGTCTCCACCTCCGTCTACTTGACCTCTCAGCGGTGTTACCTTGATAGTTAATCATCCCTCCTCCTCACGCTTTCTTTACTGGGCTCCCGGGACATCTCATATACTCTTGGTTTTCCTCCCATCTCGGGAGTTCCTCTTCCCATCTCATTTCTGGATCTTCCTCTTTTCCTGTGCTCCATGGCTCAGTCCCCAATCCTCTCTCCTTCTGTATCAAATCAGTGACTTCATGCAGGGTCAAGGGCCTCAACAGCATGTACATGCTAAAGATCCCAAACTGCTCCTCCAGTCCAGGCATCGCCCAAATTCCAGACTCCAGTATCCAACCACAGACTCGGCACCTCCATGACATCGGCCAAGAGGCACTTTTAACTTCACATTTCCAGAATCCACCCTGATCTTCCCTGCTCTGAGCCCGGTTCTGAGCCTTCTCTATCTCATTCGGTGTCAACTCCATCATTCCAGTTGTTCACACTAGAATTACCCGAGTCATTCTGAAGTCTTTCCTTCCTCTCTCATCACATTCCGGTCAGGAAATCCCAATGGACCTTCTTTCAGTGTAGACTGAAATGAGCCACTTCTCATCACTCCAGCATCTACCATCCCGGTCTGAGTTGCATCATCGCTTGTTAGATTAAAGCAAAAGCCTTCTGACTGAACTCTCAGCTTCACCCTCGTCCTGTGACGGCCCATCCTCATCACAGCTGTCAGAATGAGGGATCCTTTTAGAACGGGAGTAGGATCCTCTCTTCAGAACTCTTCAATCTATTCCCATCTCACACAGCGTAACTGCCACAGTCCTCGCACAGGCCCACAAGATGCTGTGTGACCTGGTCCTGGTTACCCCTCTCCTCCTGTTTTCTCTGCTCATCCACACTAGCCTCCGTGCTGTTTATCAATCACGCCATACCTGGCCCTGCCTCAGGGCCTTTGCACGTACACCGTTTAGCCTGGAATGCTCCTCCTTCACACCTACAGTGTGCGCAGACTTCTTTCAGGCCATCACTCGGAACTCTGCTCGAGAGTGAGACCTTACCTGTCTACCTATGCAAAATGTCAACTGTACACCCAGCATGCCCCGTCTTGTTTTACTATTTCTCATTTGCATTTATTAGTAGTAATATGCTATATATTTAGCTCATTTATATTGTACATTACCTGTCTTCCCCCAGTGAAATGTGAGCCCATGACAAAAGGACTTTTGTGGGTTTTGTTCACTATGATTTTGTTCACAGGTCACGGTCAGTAAATAGTTCAATAAACTAGTTGGAATGTTTTTCCATTTGAATGTGTTATTTTTCAATAAACTCTAAACATGCTTTGTTTTCTTTTCCTACAGGTTAGAGTTCCATTTGTGATAGGCTTCTGAAATTTACATCCCAAAGGCCCACATCGGTATCTAGGAAGATAACTCTATCGAGAAGTCTCAAGGCACTTACTTTGCACTTAATAAGTCTATAAAGCTATCAGGTGTCACACAACTCATATCCATTTGGTTACGTTGCTTTCCTCATCTACCGTGCTCAACCTCACACCATATTTTCCCCATGGTAGAAACTGGACCACTTTCTAAAATTGGTTCATGCACCCCATGCTTCAGAGCTCATAATCCCTTCTGCTGCCCTAATTTACTTTCCTGAAACTTAATACATTTATTTATTTCCACAATCATTAATTTTAACCCCAGCATGCCCAGCCCAGGTAATTTTTATGGGGCAACAGGACCAAACGTTCTTATTTTGATGATTAGACATTGTGTTTACATTAAAATTGATCCAAATTTAATTGTTGTGTGTTTAATTTTCTGCAGCTGTGCCTGATAGCAAAAAAAAAAAAGTAGTGACAGGAGTTTGCTTGAATTTAGAAATTCATTCATCAGAGCAACTCAGTTTCTTTTGCTTAAAATTAAAATGAAAACATTCTCCTGTAAGTTCCATCTCAAAAATCACATTGACAAAATAATGGATAAAAATTACTCTAAATTTGTAGGAAAAACATGCATAGAAGGAAGGCTTAAAGAGAATATATCAACAGATAAACGTTGGGTGATGGTGTAAGTGATTTTCATTTTCCTCTTTGCATGTTTGTTTTGCAAAATTTCTGCAATAAATATGTATTACTTTTATAATCAGAAAAATAAAAAACATTATTTAGAAGTTAATTGTGTATAATTCTATGCTTTAGAAATCAACGTACGTTCTCAACTTAAGCAGTGTCTCCTAGTGAAGCGTGGTAACTTACCAGTGTTACGCCATCATTATTTTTCTCATTAACATTTCCTCCACATGACAAGAAGTGTTTGACGTCTGTTAGCATGCTCATTGGTCTCTGAAGCTTCATCTGCCGCAGTGATGTCAGATCCACTCCTAGGGGGGGAAAGAGCCTTTTTCAAACAGAATGTACACTGCTTCTCAGCTGCAGGGGGTAAAAATTTAATTTTATCTTATATTTTTCAACGTGTTCCTTCCTCTTTGAAGCTCCTCTTCCAATCTGAATTCTCACTCAAAGCATCCATAATTGTTTCTCTTGGCATGCAGTCTTATTTCCAGCTAGAGTCTTGAATAATTTTCCTCTTATTATATCCCAAAATGTGATAGGATGCCTTAGCCATGGCAGGCTTTCAGTGGATTTCTGTTTTAGTATAAATCATCAGCATAGACTGCCCAAAGTATTGTAAAGTACCTGCATTGAACTGAAATGAGTTGTAAAGACATACTTTCTGTTCCCTATGGTTTTCCTCATTAAAATAGTTGCTCCTAAAAGCAATGCAGTGTCCTGGAATAGAAAAAGGATTTAGCGGGAAAACTGGAAAATTCTGAATAAAGCCTGTAGTTTACTTAATAGTACTGTACCAATGTTAACTTCTTAGTTTGGATGAATACACCACGGCTGTGGACATTTGTAATGCTAGGGGAATCTGGATGAAGGGTATCTGGGACCTCTCTGTACTATTTTTGCAACTTTCCTTCAAATTATTTTTTAAAGGATGCTCCAAATGATTGTTTCATGACTATTAATGTTAATAAGGAGAAATAAACTAAAATTGAATGAAGACTGGTAGCCTGGCTTCAATGAGGTGGGTGATTTATGCAGAGAGGACTCAGTTCAGCTCACCTGCTTATACCTCTATCCAGTATATATTTCAACCTGAGCTTTCATGGTGGTGTAATCTCCATGGTAGCGTATATCTCTGCATTTCTGCATCCCCTGTTCCTAAAGTTGGTTCCTGGACATAATAGGTGTTTACTAAGGGGAAATAATCTACCTCATTCCAAGTGAAAGTAATAACAGTCACAGTGATATTAATGATGCTGATGAAGATGATTCTGCTGCTGCTTAGGAGATGACATCTGTCCCTCAGCAAGTGTTTGCTATGAGCCAGCCACACTTCTGAGCAATTTCTATCTCTTATCTGATTGAGTCCTTGCCACAAACATGGAGACAGAGCAGTGGGCTCGAGCAAAAAGGCTGGAGTGATCCTCCTGGCTGCGCCTGGTCTGTGGCCGACCTCCCCAGGGTGACTGTGGGAAAGTTACTTAGCCTGATTGTCTGTATCCTCCGTCACTCAGATAATAATACATATCCCAAAGGAACAAAGCTATGGGTAACGTTTATAAGACCTGTCTGCATGGCACAGCCCAGCATGGTGCCCATCGGCTGTCATGTCCCCCTAGAGCACACCACGCCTGCCTCCCTGCATCCCTTGTTCTCCGAGCCTGGATGAACTCCAGAGCAGAAATGCTCTGGAGTTCTAGTGCTGTGTCTTGCACTTAACTATTTGTGCCAGTGGGGGCAGGTAACTTATCCTCTGCCTCAGTTTCCTCATCTGCAAAAGGGGCTGACAGTTTATTTCACCAGTTGTCATGAGAATGAGTCCAAACACATACAGCATATAAAACAGGATTTAGCTTGCAGGAAGCACTCAATGAAAGGGACCTGTCATTTCATTATCAGTCAGCCTTCTGGTACATGGATCACCCGCCACGCATTTAGGAGTGTTTTTCTTTACAATAAGGAGGCAGGGAAAAACCAAACAAAATAAAGCCAAATGCAATATTACAGATTTCCCTAACAGGCACATTGGAGGTTTCTAAACAACGAGCTAAAACTGGCACTCTATTTCTATTTTTAGGATTATAGAATTTGACATGCGAGTAATATCTGGAAAACACTGTTTCTCAGATGTCAGTGTTCAATTTTGCACGCTAAAGTAGCAGGAAAACCTAATGGTTGCCCTACTCTAAGGCCATATTATTTTAACTTTTATAATATTGCACGTTTACCGAGGCGGCATGCATCTTTTAGAGGATTATTTAAACATGTAATTAAAATTGAGTGATAAAAAAAGAATAGGGCTCAAAGATGAAAGACACAAATTAAAAGAGATTAGCTGTCACTCATTTCAGACTCATGCACATTACAACATATTATGTGGAAACAATCTATTTCTGGTGACTGTTGTGAAGATATGAGGGGAATATTATGACATCGTACCCCATTATTTTAAAACTTTATTTTGAATCAAATAGGATACCAATTAAGATGTGATTTTTAGATTTCTTCCGACATGTCCAGGGAAAAAAAACCACAGATCTATTTTTGGTAAGACAATAGAATGGAAATTCGCTCACTTCTTGGTCAAATTTCTTAAGATGCTTCTGGAAAAAAGCCAAACAAGATGACTACAGCCCATAAGAAATCTATTCTTTTGTAGTGGATAATGGGCCAATCCTCTCTTTTTGAAAAGAAGTTCAGTTTTATTTTCATACTGTTTCTTGAAAAAATTAATACATGCCCTGCTTAGATTTACTATTTTGAAAGGAATTTAGTAATTTTTTGTTTAATTTAGGACATAAGAAACAAATCATTTACTGGAAATGCACAAGTTATTACATGTGATACTAATTACTACTGCCTGATTACATTTGATTATATCAATAAATGCTTGTGAAGAACCGAAACTACATTAACATCTCAAGTCAATCTGAACCTTATCTTAACCTTCCTTAACTGTCCCTCTCAAGGTAATATTGTCTTGTAACAATTCAGCTTTTCCTTTTCTCCATTATCCATCCCGTATCCGGGGTATTCTGTGCTGCTATCACAGATAATTTTATCATTACGCTATGACATGACCCATCCCATGGTTGTACCCTGGGGTTCCCTAAGCTCCAAGAATTGCATCTAATCTCAATTTTTGTCACTATGGTAAGCTTCCGAAAAGATCCTAGACTTGACGGAAGCAAAAAAGTTAAGCAGGCAAATAATGAAAGTTGTTCTAGCAAAGAGAAATGAACCAGTTTAAGCCAAAACGGTGTTGTAACCTCTACCAAATCCTTTCCCCCAACTCTGACCACAGGCTTAATGTGGGACTGTCCCAGGCAAATCGGGATCACTGTCACCCCAATAATGGGATGATTCTGAAGGGGTTGGTGAAGGAACAGCATTTTGAATGAACTTTGTTAAGCAGGAGAAACATACAAGGTCATCTGCAGACTGATGAATCTGGGAGTCTCTGAAAAATGCAGAGGGAGGGCTAAGTCTGGAGTTAAGAAGACCATTTTCCAAGGCTGTTCCAAAGTAGAAAGACTGGGGTTTTAACTAAGGCAGTAATGGCGCGGCTGGTGAGATATGTGGACTTATTAGAAAGATGTCAAGGAAAGAATCTGTAAGATTTGGTGACAATTCGACGTGAGGGATTCAGGAGAAGAAAAGTGATGTTCAGATACTCAGATTTCTGGGTGTAAAGGTAAAGAGAATACAGAGAGAGTGTGAAAGCACGACATGAAGGTCCATACTGGACACGTTATTTCAACTTGTCTGACATACAAGTAAAAGACACAAGACACGTAATGAAATTGCAGGTACAATGCCGAAGGTCTTGAAAGATATCTAAGCTGCAAGAGTAACCCTGGGGTCAGGTAGGTGCTAAGGACACTAGGAAGAGGGGAAGATGACCAGGGACAGTGTACAGAGAGAAGATGATCAAAGACAAAGCCTTGGGAACAACCAACATTTTGGCTTCTGCGTACCTAAGTGGTGCATCCAAAGGAAACTAAAAGAAGGGAGAAAAGCTATGGGAAGATCAGAGCAGGTGAGCCTTTTCATAGGAGAGTGTGATCAAGGTCACTGAATGTCACAGGGAGACGAGAAAATGCAGGAGAGCAGAAAAGTGACAGCTGGATAGAGAACCGACGGCAGTGGCTATCACCGTAGGGACGTGTCCAGATCGGTAGGGGACAAAGCAGAACTTCCGTGGGCTCAGTAGAGGAAATTAGGAACTCAGAATAAATATGAGCTTCTTTTTCTAAAGGACGGACTTGAAAGAAAGGAGAAAGGGCCATGGGTGATGATAATATGAAGGGCAAAGTAAAAAGCGTTTGTTTTACTCTTCAGGGACATGGAAACATAGACCTATATGTTTTTTTCCATGGTGAGCATCTTTCCTGGACACCTTGAGCTCTCCCTACAGTGCTTTATTTCTCTGCTGGCTCATTTTATAATCAGTTGCTTTCCTTGAATGCCAGCTGGCTTGTTGTGCACCGGAGATCTCATCTGCATCAGATGCTTGATCAGAACTCCTTGCTGTCTTGTTTTCCAGCCCAGGAAGCTCAGGCAGTGAGCTGAGGTTAATTGCCGTGACCAGGGGTACAGTGTATGCCGGCGGTGACAGTACAGTTAGAACCTGTGACCAGTGATTTTTCCATGTAATCAGCGTGCTCGCTACCTGGCCTGTCTTCTCCCACACGTGTCCTCATGTGACAGTGTGATAAGTACTCCGATTTGAAGCTGGATGATGCAGAGTGAGAATTCAAGGTTTCCCCCCGCCTGGTTAGAAGAACGCAGTGCACCAAATAATGAAAATCCCATCTTGGAACATTAGAAATTTCTAACAGTATCAGCCCATGCTGTCACAACCGATAACTCTAAAAGCGCACCAACGGGGACGGGGGAGGATGCAGAGAATAAATTGAATTAGACAGTATTTACTGGAACTACGGCAGCTGATCTAGATAAGGAGGAAGGATGTGAGCAGAAATGGAACTAGACTGTGAATGGGGTGAAGGAGGGGCAGAAAGATGAAAGGCAGGGACAAATGGAAAACAGAATTAAAAATGTAAGAGATATTAAAGCGCATTTGTGCCGGCAAACATGTATCTCACAAACAGATTGTGACAGCCATCGTCGTGACAGATTCTCTCCTAACCATTCAGAGTCAGTATCTCCTTCTCATTTTTTTCCTTAATCATTTTTAAATCAGCCTCTTAAAGGAATACACTTATTTTTCTTTACATGGAATAGTAATACTGCTCTTGCAAACACTCAGCGTTCTTAGCAAACAAAATCCTCCCATGAGTTGGAAAGGCGAAGAACTGAAGTTCATTCTTTTGCAAAGAAAGACTTCATTTTAGTTTCCAAAGGGAAAGATACATGAGTGTAGCTATTACAAATTCAGAACAATGAGAACAGGAAACCATCCCACAGAACTGGCACAGATAAATAAGACAGCCGCGTTCCTCACTCAGATTCAGAATCGCGCACTCCAAGTTAAGTTTTGCAAAGATCCAAATGATAAACTTCCCAGCAGTGGAACAACAGGTCACAGCTGACGAGATGCGAGAAAGCACAACGTCCCTCCTGTAGGAGTGGGTACCAGGGAGTGACTCTTCCCCACGGCCTGTCACCCGGGGCCACGACTTGGTGACCCTCAGAACCACAGCACAGCTCACGGTTTCTCCAATGAAGATAACATCGCTTACCCTGCTTTCAGAATTAATGGGGCAAGTTTTTTTTCTAAGAACCCACGGCTGCTAAGCACTAATTATTATTGTTCTAAGCCCTCCTGAGAATAAACCTTTCGAGACAAGTGACCTGGAGCACGCACAGAGCACAGAGAGCAAAGAGGCAGGTGTGCAGGCTTTTCTTAGAGGCAAGAAGGATAGGGTGTCAGGCACGATGTGCCTCTTAAATATGCTGAACTTTTTCTCTGACAAAAGATCATACTTGAAGGCATTGGAATTTCTTTGGTGTTCTTTATATCTGAAGAGCTGAAAAAAAGAAAAATAAACGACGGGGCATATACTCCTTTAGTTTAACATATGGGGCTCAGGGTTCCAAACGCCTCACACTTTGCCAAGGCTGAACTCACTCGTGAAATTATACACTCAGGCTGTGCAATTAAACGTTCTTTGTCAGCGAATACGTTTGGGGGCCCAGCCTCAGCGTTTCAGCCGGCACCATGACCGTGGGGCTTTCTTCTGACAAGGTTTGGGTTTCCATGTGTCCCCAGGAGTGGATGTTGGGATGCTGTGCAAACTGCCCTTGACTTTGGTCCTCACTCACCTGAGTGGGATTCTTCGGATGCTCCTAAGATGCTGCTTCACTTCCCTTCCCCTCCCAGTGGAGAATAGATTATAATTACAAACCCAGTCCGGCTAATTATGGACTTTGGATGCCTGTTAAAATGTCCCTGCACGGTTGGTCTCCAGATTTCTGCCAGCTTGCAAAACTGCATTGACTAAACCAACTATGAAACGCTGCACAGAACAAGACGTCATTTCACACAATCGAGGGAAACGACATCCGTCTGAAATCATGTAAGCACACCTAAAATATATACACTTAAATTCTACCGCCCTATCTCTTCTTCTATCTTTCTATGGTTTTTCAAGGCATCTGCCTACCATTTTCATCCAGGTAGGTCAATAGGATGGAGCTCGATTCTGTCCCTTCCGTGGCATAGTCGAGTGGGATATTTCCATTGACGTCCTGGAGAAGGGCATTAGCTCCAGCCTGTAAGTGAAAACGAACAAATTTAACATTATATACACTGTTAACATAGAAAGCAGATCCAAACTTTCATTTCGATCTTATTCAGGAAACAGACCCAGAAAAGTTTACATCAGATACAGCCGGCAGGATCACATAGCAAATTGGAATTATTTTTTAAGACAAATTATATTAGATACTTTGTGAGAAACTCTCATGGTCCAAAAAGGTTCAACTGGCCCTTGACAGGCAAGACCCTAGCCGCCAGTAATCCTTCCCACACCCCTTGCCAAACCCAAAGTATCCAATCCCCGGCTGCTAAACCGGGCACGCCTCTATGCTGGCTGCCCTAGACATGCCTGGCTGTCCTAACACAACAGAAGTGGCCCTGCCTTCAGAGTCTGAATGGAGAACTCCCGTACGGACTTTGATCTTCCCCAAACTATCCTGTTAAATCTTTAAGCTCCTTGCTCTCCACAGAAACTCATTTGAGAGCTGTTCTCACACTACAGTCGTTTTAATAAAGGCTGAGCTAATGGCTTCTGGTTGGTTTTCCTCTTTCCAAAAACTGTTTTCCAACAAAAAGCATAATCTGTAGACATTAATGGATGGAATATATTACATACGACTATCACACACCTTTTAGCTTCAAAGGGCTCTCCCTCAAGCACCTCTGAGCCCACCGCTCGACTCTTTGCGCATCCCAGCCTAAATACAATGATAGATGCGCTTTCATTCTTAAAAATGTAGTCACATCAATTGTCACCCTTGCTCTACATTCTTTAATGAGCTCCGTAAAATTTAAGATTTCCCGTATGCGTCCTCCCAATAACCTGTCACTAAACTCAGGCCAAACAAATGAAAGTTTCACCCTATTTTTCTTCCTGAATAGGAGTCTGTATTGCAATGTGGACAGTTAATATGGTTCATATAATAACCAATTTCATAACTTTACATCAAAAGGAACATCACATTAATAGCTTTATATATTAAAATGTGGGGTTTTGCCTTGTATGTGTGTGTGTGTGTGTGTGTGTGTGTGTGTGTGTGTGTGTGTGTATCTATATACTGCTTTCCTATGCCTTAGCAAGTCTGCACAGGTTTTCCAAAAGACTGCTGTACTATAGTAAAAAGAAAATTTAAAAGCAGGTCAAAGCGGTAGCATGTTCCCTCCACGTAAGTTGTACTGCTCACCTTACCATCCAGAGTGAACCACATTATATCTTCTAAACCATATGAAGATACTTCTTTATCTGAACAGGTCAAGTTAGATATTTCAGATTTTCCCTTACCTAAGGAAAATGTCATTATAAGGTCCTAAAGATTTCAGATTATCTTCTTAGTGCATTTCATTTTGTTTCAGTTATTCAGAGTTTGAAAAGAAGTTACTTGAGGCAATAGTCTTAAGTAGACTTTGCTAATGATTCCTTTCCTTTAGTCTCCAGCCAGGAGAATAACATTTTGCATATTTACCCAAGCTTCATTGGTTAAAGAATCAATTAAGACACAGAACTATGGGCATCCTTGCTGATTTCAATACTAAGAGGTGGGAGATAATCAGGTTACTCTTCTTTGCCAATGCACAGACGTTTCAGAGAGGATCTTATCTATATCAAACATCTGGGTGGCAGATGACAGTGAATATAATTGAGTCACATATTATCAAGTGATGCCCAGGGAGAGGGCGCACTGGGGGAGAATATTTTCTATTCTTTCAGGAGTAATGAGGCTCTTTCAAAGAGAGTCTGAAACTGAAACGCGGTGCTGAATATTTTAGTTGGGTTCATTCATTGAAATTTCAACCCATTAACCCCCACTGGTCTGTGCTGCTGAATGACCAGGTGTTATTTCCTGTAGAGACCTTCCTGCGGGGTCGAGAACTTCCCTAGTCACAGATCACATCTCATTCCTCTTTACATGCCCAAAGGTGCCTGGGACATATTAGGCCCTAAAAACAATTTACTGAAACAAACTGAAAAATAAGCAAATGCTGAACTTAAACTAATTACTAAAAATTGAGGCAAAGGATTATGTTTTTCGTGATAATTATTTTTAACTAAATTTTCTGACATTCATTTTTAAGAGTATATACATGAAATTACAAAATCACTCTATGCATACTTAAGTTTCCTGCCTTCACTCTTTCTAGATGGATGACAATTGTGGGAGACTTTTTCTCCCTTCTTTCCCCTTTCCATCAATCCCTCCCTCCCTCCTCCCTCCCCCTCCCTCCCCCTCCCCCCTTCCTCCTTCCCTCCCTTTCTTTCTTTCCTTGCCACTGGACATGGGTGAGACACCCCAGCTGCGGTGGCTCTAACCCCACCACTCAACTATCTGGTCTTAGTAGACGTCCCTAGAAGAGCTGATTCACGTGCCACAAAACATGTATCCACATGATCCCCTGAAAAAGCTGTATTTCTTGACTTAGAATTCTGAAATTGTACATACATATATAAAAACCCCATCGATAAGATTCATGGCTGATTATTATTCTTAGTCTGACTAACTCAGAAGGTAATGTGTTGTTAATGGGTCCCTCTGGAACTAAGACTAAGGTAAGTCCTTCAGTTGTGGCTTCAAGAAAATAAATCACGTCGTGATTGGTTTCATCAGGGAAGTAAATGTTATATTATGCAAAAGCAAACTCCTCAAATGCTTTTGCAGTTGAGGACTGCATAGTTCCCACTGGGAGCCCTGAATACATTTCCTTTCTCATCATGCAAACTGGAAGGCCACCCCATCTCCAATTTGTCCTACACTCTGTTCCTGGAGTATTGGAAATAGAACTCAAATGCCTCATTCTTCTCAAGTAGGAATCTTATTTACTGCATGTCAGATGACAAACGAACAAATAAATGCACGCTTCCTGTAAATAAACATTTTATTAGTTTATGTAGCGATTTAATGTCAATGAATAAACTTGCCGATTGTTTCATTTAGTAATAATTCTCCAGCACATTAAAACTGAAATTTTAATGACAGGTACCTGGTGGACTTTTAATAAGCAAACACCACTTTTTTAATATAAATCTTCATTGGAGTGTAATTGCTTCACAATACTGTGTTAGTTTCTGTTGTACAACAAAGTAAATCAGCCATATGAATACATATGTCCCCATATCCTCTCCCTCTTGAGCCTCCCTCCCACCCTCTCTATCCCACCCCTCTAGGTCATCACAAAGCACCAAGCTGATATCCCTGTGCTATGCGCCTACTTCCCACTAGCTAACTATTTTACATTTGGTAGTGTATATATGTCGCTGCTACTCTCACAATGTAATCCCTATCAAACTACCAATGGCATTTTTCACAGAATTAGAACAAAAATTTTACAATTCGCACGGAAACACCAAAGACTCCGAAGAGCCAAAGCAATCTTGAGAAAGAAAAATGGAACAGGAGGAATCAGGCTCCCTGACTTCAAATTATACTACAAAGCTATAGTAATCAAGACAGTATGGTACTGATACAAAAACAGAAATATAGATCAGTGGTACAAGATAGAAAGCCCAGAGATAGGCCCATGCACATATGGTCACCTAATTTATGACAAAAGAGGCAAGAATATACAACGGAGAAAAGACAGCCTCTTCAATAAGTGGTGCTGGGAAAACTGGACAGCTACATGTAAAAGAATGAAATTAGAACACTACCTAACACTATACACACAAATACCACTTTTTATATGCAAATAATTTTAGTAACTTTTTATTTTGATATAACTTCAAGTTTACTCCAAGTTGCAAGAATAGTACAAAGAAGTCCTATATATCTGTTATGGGTTGAATTACATCCCCCCAAAAAGCAATGTTGAAGCCCTAACCACTGGTACCTATGAATGTGAACTTATTTGGAAATAGGACCACTGCTGATGAGAACAGCTAAGATGCAGTGATTCTGGAGTAAAGTAAATGACAGGTGTCCTTACAAAAAGAGGGTTATTGGGGACACAGACACAGAGGATGAGACAGCCACGTGAGGATCGAGGCAGAGATTGCAGTGACACTGCCACAAGCCACTGGGTACCTGAGACCACCAACAGCTCAAAGAGACACAGAAGGATGCTTTCCCATAAGTTTCAGAGGGAGCACGACCCTGCCAACACCTCAACTTTGGACTTCTGGCCTCCAGAACTGTGAGACATCAAGTTGCTTGAAACCACCCGGTTTGCAGAACTGCATAATGGCAACGCTAGGAAACCCTTTACCCAAATTCACCAATTATTTACACTTTTCCCCTATTTTTGCTTTCTCTGCCTCTTTTATTTTTCCTGAATCTTGTAAAAGTGAGTCACAGGCACCATGTCCCTATACCCCTAAATATTTTAGTATGTACATCATGAAAATAAGGATATTCTTCTGCATAAGTGTTATCAAAAGCAGAAAGTCTGGCATCACTAAATTCCATTATATAAAGCACAGTCCACATCCAAGTTTCATTAATTTTTCCAATGACATCCTTGATTGCTATCACTCCCTGGCTCAGGACAGAATGAGGGGTTACCCGGGGCATTTTCTTTTCCTTTCTCTTTAGCCTTCTTCCACTTGAAACAGTTCTTCTGTGTTCTTCTTTAAGACCTTCTCTCATAGGTCCTTCCGATGAGAGTTTTGGCAGGCAACCACAGAGGGGATACTGTGTTCTTCCCATGGTGCCATATCAGAAGACTCCTGATGTTCCTTGATCCGGTGGTGATGAAGGTAACTTTGATCACTTGGTCGAGTGATGTTTTTAGACTGTCAAGTTGCAGCTGAGAACCCATGGGTTCCTACTGGTATCAGTAACGAAATGAATCCCTGACTACAGGGGAGAAGAAAGCTCTTCCTCACGATAGAATACCAACTGG